TGACCGAAATCGAACCTGGGACCCTTCAGTCCGCAGGCCAACTGCTCTATCCACTGAGCCAAACAGGTTAGGGCGGTGAATCTTTTAATATTCATGGAATGGAGGTGGACTTTAAGACTGGTTTGCACCTGGACTGTAAGCTCTATGAGGGCAGGGACAGTCTATCTTGCACATGGGTTGGATTCTTAATATCTAGCACAACACTTGGCACAAAGTAGGCACTTAATAAATATTTGTTAAATGAATGTAACAAGCATTAATCAAATACAGAAAGCATTAAGAAAAATCAATATATTTTGCCCAAATAAAATATTAGGCTCTGGCCAGTGTGATCAGTGGTTAGAGCACTGGCCTGCTCACCGAAGGGTCACGGGTTCGATTCCTGGTCGAGGATGCATACCTGGGTTTGCAGGTTCACTCCCTACCACCAGTCAGGCTTTGTGCAGTAGACAACTAGTCAATGTGTCTCTCCCACATCGATGTTTCTTTCTCTCTCCCTCTCCCTCCCTCCCTTCCACTGCAATGAAAAGAATATCCTCTGGTGAGGATTAACAACAAAATTAGAAACTTCCAAAAACAAGAAAATGACAATATGGAGATAATGTCTGCAATATAAATGACAAAGTATTACTTCCATATTCTGTAAAGAGATTTTCCTAAGCATGGTAATTCATAAAATGGAGAACATCCTACTGAAAAAAGCCAAATCATGTTCATAATAATCACTGCCATTTCTTAAGCAGTGGGCAGGGCCTTGATAAAGAAAGGCTTACGAAATACTCTCTTGGTCCTCCAACTGCCCAATGAGCAGAGGGACCTGGGATTCTGCAAGGTTAATGCCACCATGTTTGTTAACGTTGGAGCCATGACTCAAGCCCAGGTTTGCCTCACATTTATTCTGGTGATCATTTTTCTCTTTATTATATTTTTATTGAAATAAAAATTTAGTGCAACAGTTCAAATGATACAGAGATATATATTTTTTAAAACCCACCTCACACAGTTTGGTCTATATCCTTTCAGGTCTTTCTGGGTCATTTTCTGCAATTTGATTATTTTTTTCCTTTGCTATATATCAAATATATTTTTTCTCTATGAGTACATTTAGATCTACCTCATATTTTTTGTCCAGTTCATAAAGCTTCGGAGCATGGATAAATCAAAATGAGATTTTGCCCTCACTGATGAACATTTAGGTTGTTTCTAACCATTACAAATAAAGCTAGCCTACACATCCTTATCCTTATATCCTTGTATGCCTGTGTGAGTCTTTCTATAGGACAGATCCTGACAAGTGGAATTACGGCGTCAGAGTACACATATTTTAAATTTTGTTATGTAGATAAGTTGACCTTCAAAAGATTAGCTAATTTATACTTTCCATAAGCTATAAAAGTGTCTGTTTTCCCCACAGCCTCACTAACACTAGGTATTATAAAAATGTTGAACTTTTGCCAAAGTCAAGAAACAAAAATGGCATCTCATAGTTATTTTTAACTGGAATTTATTTTTCTATTAGTGAGATTAAGCATCTTTATGGTTATTGACTATTTTTATTTCTTTAGTGAATTTCATGTAGATTTCTTTCTCCCTTTGTTTCTTTTTCTTATAGTGGAGCTCTTTAAATTTTAAAGATATTAACTCTTTCTCATACATTGCAAATGTTTTTCCCAGGTGTTTTTTTTTTAAATATTTTTTTTATTGATTTTTCACAGAGAGGAAGGGAGAGGAATAGAGAGTTAGAAACATCGATGAGAGAGAAACATCGATCAGCTGCCTCCTGCACACCCCCTCCTGGGGATGCGCCCGCAACCAAGGTAAATGCCCTTGACTGGAATCGAACCTGGGACTCTTCAGTCCACAGGCCGACGCTCTATCCACTGAGCCAAACCAGTTAGGGCTCCCAGGTTTGTTTTTTATTATTTCTTTCACCACAAAGAAGTTTAGAAATATTACATGACCAAATTAGCTAATCTTTCCCAGAATTTTTTATACCCATCAAAGGAAGTTGTGACAACTATAGATGGAGGATGGCAGTTAAAAGACAGGGAAGTTGCCCTGGCCAATCTGGCTCAGTGGATAGAGCATTGGCCTGCAGACTGAAGGGTCCCGAGTTCAATTCTGGCCAAGGGCACGTGCCCAGGTTGCAGGCTCAATTCCCAGTAGGGAGTGTGCAGGAGGCAGCCAATCAATTATTCTCTTTCATCATTGATGTTTCTATCTCTCATTCCCTCTCCCTCCCTCTCTGAAATCAATAAAAATATATTTTAAAAAACAAAATAGTCAAGTTACTTAAAAAAGTTGTAGCTGCGGGAGGAATAAAAGGCAGAATCTTTCTTCCAGCATAAGTGTAAATGCTCAACTCTCAACCACATGCCTTCGATGAGTTAAGTATGTTATACACAAGAAACAGGGGGTGGGAAATACCATATTACCTCTGAGAAGCCCTGCCAAGCTTGGGTGGTGGAGAGACTGGGACTTTTGCCTAATCCCTGGCTGCAGTTCCTGGGAAATAGTCCCCAAGGACTATTGGAGTGAGGATTGGGCAGAGGTATCAGAAAGGTCTTCCCTTCTGGATTATTGCCTAGCATACATGATGCCCTTGCAGTGAAAGACTGCCAAGAGCTTGGTACAAGGTTGTGCACCACCTTGCCAGCCAACAATCAACATTTACCAGCTCCAAATCAAATTACATCTCTTAGTATAAAAATAGGATGCTATCTTGTGTTCTCATCCTACTTATACTACTATATACGAGGATCAAAAATAGCACAGACAAAACCTCAGGGCTGTTTGTCCCACTGGCCTGCTAGCAACTGTGTTCATACCTGGGGTCTCTCCAGGAGCACCTGAGGACAGGTTACCAGCTACTGCTTCTACAATGATCTCCATGTTCCCTGTGTCCTCTTCAGTTGTTGTGGCCTCTACCAGCAGGCAGCCTGGATCAGCAGGCAAAGGTGTGGGGTTCCCAGATGTACAGGGGCTCTGGACGGGCTCCAGGATTCCAGGGTTAGAGAGAGGTGGGGGGATCAGCATTAGCTCAGAGCACAGTCCATCCATCTCTGCAGTGCTGTTGGCTGGCTGTGAGTCCAACATAGGGTCTGTCATCACCACCAACTTGTGTGCTGTGGTCTCTTAAGTGCTGATAAACCAACGAGAAAAGAAACCAAACAAAATATACTTAGATCTCTCACTTCCTTCCCAGTTAGTGTGGGTGTACAACCTATTGCCTGCCCACTTAGACATTTCCTTGCATGGCAGCATGCCACAACTAGTTAACCTAGAAGTTTTCTTTCTTTTTATTTATTTATTTATAAAATATATTTTTATTGATTTCAGAGAGGAAGGAAGAGGGAGATGCAAAAATCAATGATGAGAGAGAATCATTGATCGGCTGCCTCCTGCACGCCCCCTACTGGGGATTGAGCCCAAAACCTGGCACATGCACTTGAGTGGATTTGAACCGGGGACCCTTCAGTTCACAGGCTCTATCCACTGAGCCAAACGGGTTAGGGCTAGAAGTTTTCTTTTTGTAACAATGTCTGGAACAAAAAGTATAAAAATTATAATAGGGGCCAATATTAGGAGACAACAAGCACATTTTGGCCAATATGCTAAAGACTGCAGATTGTTTTTTGGCGCTAAATGACCTTGGTCAAATTATGAAGTGATTTGGGTCTGTTTTCCTATCTGCAACAAAATTGGGTGGGGGTCAAGGGATCTCAGAGGTAACTTTCCCTTTTAACATTTTATGACCTCACTATTCCTTAGCATGGGTATATGGCCCTTCCTTCATGGCCTGGCCCCTGCTGACCTCTCCAGACTCGTCTTCCACTTCTCCCCTCAACAGATCTCTGAACCCATCACTCCAATGACGTGCCATTCCCCAGACTCACCACATTCTCCTTTGCTTCCATACTCTCACACATGCAGGGGTCTGTCTCTGTCTTTCTCCTCCATGGACCTTCCCCATCTTTCTTGTCTGGCTAACCAACTCCTAACTATTCTTTAATAATACACACACATATCACTTCCATTATGAAGGCTTCCTGACAAATTAAGGCAGAGAGAAGGCCTCGGGAATGAATGAAACCTGGCCCAGGTACTAAAGCACCCAGTTTCCACCTGCCTGTGGGCTCTGATTCACCGCGTGGATTTGGGCAGATAGAGTGACCTCGCTTCTCTGGGCCTCAGCTTTCTTATCTGTGAAGTGGAGGCAATGTCAGTGTCCACCTCGTTGGGCCGGAACGGGAATCACAAGAGCCAGAGAATGGGAAGGCCGACTTGTAACCTGCAAGGCTAGGGACGTGGAATCGTCATGATGATGGCCCTGAGGAGAGGTAGCGGGTAAGCGGGCGAGGTTCAGGGCCGTGACGCGAGTGAGGCACCCGGGCGGCTATGTGATGCTCCTGGGCCCCGCTCGTCGCCGTCTCATCACCTCCTCCCGAGGGTTCTCACCTCCCAGGCCCACCCTCACCCTGGAGCACGAGAAACTTCTGCGTCCAGCCCGCTCCACCCGCACTCACTCCTAGTTCCCGCCCCGCAGCCACTCACTCACCTCCCGGCCAGGGCAGGCGGGAGCCGCATCTCTATGGTCGACCAGAAGCTGGAGTCGCCTCCAGGGATCCCCTTTCTACGACCGCCTCCCGCCCAGCGGAACTCCAGGGCTTCGGGCGTACGGAGGCCACTCTCTCTTCCCTTTTGGCGGCGGGAGGAGTACTCTATGGTTTTCTCTAGCGTCCCCGCCCCCGTCCCCGTCAGGAAGCCCGAGGAGCACCATCGAGAGCGGTGGAGCAGAGCGGCAGGGCCTTCCCGGTGGGCGTGGCGGGAAGTAGATGGAAGGCTCGAGGGTGGGGCCGAGCGGCGCTTCCCTCAAACCCGAAGGGGTGAAACCATTGAGAGGGCGGGCCAGAGAGTCATGCGGGTAAGGCGATGGAGTGACGGGTTACCTCCAACCTCGCAGCTGGAGGCGCGAGCTGGGGTGCGGAGAGGGTGCGGGCGAGGGCGTCCGCCCGGGGCCCGGGGCGGGAAGGGCTTTGTCTGTGGCTTCCATGCGCAGGTGCTTTGGAATTCTGCATCCAACGCTGAACCTCCCCGGAGGTCACTGCTGTCAGTGCTTCGCCCCGCGTGCCAGGCGCAGAGCAAATTGGAAGGGGCGGGGGAGACGTACTAGAAACCGACTGGCTTCCTACCCCTCGGGATCTTACAGTCTAGAGTTAGACCCGGTCACGTTTGATGGTGGAGAATTGTGAAAAATCTCTATGGAGGAAGGAGCAAATGGGCGGGACTTCAATTGGAGAGAATACATTAGAATGGGCTTCTGAGTCGACAGAACCGCTGAGCCAGGAGGTGGGAGGTGGTTTATTTATTTGTTCAACAGGTAGTTTTAGGAGCTAATCCATGAGGGGTAGGTGGAGGGCTTTGAGTACCAGGCAGAGGAGTTTTTACCTAATTCAGGGATCTGTTGAGAGATGTTGGGAGTAGGGAAAGAAATATGATTGAAGCCGATCTTTAGGAAGAAAGAACTGGACCCCTGTGTACCAGTTTGGTGAAGCAGAGATGGAGAACTCCCCATCAAGATACCATTTCAAGAACTAAATTTTTTAAAATATCTCAGGTGGGAGATATTAAAGGGCTAAGCAGGACATTGGGAATTGAGCATGTAAAGGAGAGGATATTTGAAGGACATTACTCATTGTAACAAGGCATGGTGGTTACTGACAAGTCAATGGAAGAGAATGGCTTCATCCCTGCTGATTCTGGTCCCTTTCTATCTCAACTGGTCCCAGGGACCACAAAAATTCTGTCCATTATCCTGTTGTGGAGGCAGTTACATTGTTCTCTTAGGATTCTCCAGACAGTCCTTTGGTAGGAAACTGAAGTATGAACAGGATAATGAAATTCGGTAAGGGGCCTGGAGTCTCAGCCCTTGCATTCCAACACCACCACCAACTCACAAGGGGAGGACGTTGAAGTGCACAGTGACTGACCTGCCTTTCCTGTTCCCAGCTTCTGCAGGAGGGAGGGATTGAGGAGTCCAGTTGCTTAACTAATCTTGTGTTTTTTTTCCCATTCCCACTGCTCCGCATCTCCAGGTTTTGAAATTGCCTCAGGGCCTATAAGGTTTGGTGTTTCCCTTTCAAGATGCCCCTTTCAGACTTTGTTCTGACCCTGAAGGACAATCCCTACTTTGGGGCTGGATTTGGGCTGGTGGGTGTGGGCACAGCCCTGGCCTTGGCCCGGAAGGGTGCCCAGCTGGGCCTGGTGGCATTCCGGCGCCATTACATGATCACACTGGAAGTCCCTGCTCGAGACAGGAGCTATGCCTGGTTGCTTAGCTGGCTCACCCGCCACAGTGCCCGTACTCAGCACCTCAGTGTCGAGACCTCGTACCTGCAGCATGAGAGTGGTCGCATCTCTACTAAGTTTGAATTTGTCCCCAGCCCTGGAAATCACTTTATTTGGTAAGGTTGGGAGCCAGGGAGCACTCTGAGAATAGCAAAGGAGAATGAATTTGACCCATTAATTCACCCCAATGTGACCATTCTTATTCAGGTATCAGGGGAAATGGATCCGAGTGGAACGAAGCCGAGAGATGCAGATGATAGACCTGCAGACGGGCACTCCTTGGGAATCTGTCACCTTCACAGCTCTGGGCACTGACCGCAAGGTTTTCTTCAACATCTTGGAGGAAGGTGTGTGATGATGACACAGGCAGGCTCTATGGGGAGTTGCAGGGTTGGGAGCATTTGACATCAGAGGAAGGGAAGCTTGGAGGATCTGAGCCCATGGGATCTGGGGGCTGGGGGAAGCTGTTTTGGCATAGCTCTGCCTTAGTTGCACAGCAGAGAGGAATACTGGCTTTGTCTCATCTCCTCCCTCCCAGCTCGAGCACTAGCCTTGGAACAGGAAGAAGGGAAAACAGTGATGCACACAGCCGTGGGCTCTGAATGGCGCCCCTTTGGATATCCACGCCGGCGGCGGCCACTGAATTCTGTGGTTCTAGAACAGGGTCTGGCTGACCGAATTATCAAGGACATCCGAGAATTTATCGATAACCCCAAGTGGTACATTGACAGAGGTGAGAAGCAGCTGGGGTCTTGACCAGGCTGTTTTTGATGTGGTGGTAGAGCAGGAGGAAACAGGTTAGTCTCTGTGGCCAGATGGGGTGGACATACAGCACTAGCCCAATTCCCAGAGATGAAGGGGAAAAGAAAGTTGCCTACGGGGATGATTTCTTCTAATACCAAGGTCCTAGGAAACAGGGTTGGGAATGAATGCAGATATCTGGGGCAGCGTACATGACTGACTTGAAGTCTTAATGATCATCCTGGCTGTATTCCCAGGCATTCCCTACAGACGTGGCTACCTGCTTTATGGGCCCCCTGGTTGTGGAAAGAGCAGTTTTATGTGAGTAGAGTCATTTCTCTTAACCCTCAATCTGGAGAAAAACTGGGTTGATGGAATTGGAAAGAGAAATAAATGTGGAGAACAGGAACCAGGATAAACGTAAGACATGTGGAACACTAGGGTGGGGTGGTGGAAGGGTTAGGCCTGACACACCTAGTATAGTGAGGAACGAGCAGTTGGGCCCAAGGATGAATTCCCAGATTGCCAACCACCTGTCCTCCCATCCTCCATAGCACAGCCCTGGCCGGGGAGCTGGAGCACAGCATCTGCCTGCTGAGTCTCACAGACTCCAGCCTCTCTGATGACCGGCTCAACCACTTGCTGAGTGCGGCCCCACAGCAGAGCCTGGTGCTCCTAGAGGATGTGGATGCTGCTTTTCTCAGTCGAGACCTGGCTGTGCAGAGTAAGTGAAAGGAGTTGAGGAAAGGGGGGTTTTTAAATGAGGAACAGTAGAAGAAAGAAACCCAGACGACTGAATGGAGGATGGCTGGGTTAGCAACAAGAGCCCAGAAGTGGCTCAGATAAGTAGGGAATGTGGTGGGGGAATAAAAGAGCTAATTTTAACACATTGCGGACGGATCACAAGAATTCTCGTGTTTTCTGTTCTAAGGCTTGTGGCCAATCACAATATTAAAAAGACATTAGCTTGTAAGAACATGTAATAACTTCAAAATGCAATGGGTATTTAATTTTAAAGCATGCCTTTAACATTTATGTGAAATGTTTTTTGTACTCGTTCAGTAGAAACTTATCTGGCCCCTGGGTAAAACTAGCAATAAAACTACTGGCCCACAATGTGTTAAGTAGGACTATGACTGACCAGCTATGCTTCTTTATCTCTCCCTTCCTCTAGACCCAATAAAGTACCAAGGTCTAGGTCGTCTCACCTTCAGTGGACTGCTCAATGCCTTGGATGGTGTGGCTTCCACTGAGGCCCGCATTGTGTTCATGACCACCAACCATGTTGACAGGTAGGAAGGAGTGAGACACTCCGAGGCTGTGAGGCTAGACTTCACCATCTCTGTACCTTGGGAGAATCAGGAAGTTCAATGGGAACCATCATTTTGGGGATACCAGTGGTACTACTACCTGTGACTCTGCTTTGCTGCCTTTTCCTTAGACTGGACCCTGCCCTGATACGCCCGGGGCGAGTAGACATGAAGGAATACGTGGGCTACTGCTCATACTGGCAGCTGACTCAGATGTTCCAGAGGTTCTATCCAGGGCAAGCACCTTCTTTGGCAGAGGCCTTTGCAGAATGTGTCCTTCAAACTACAACTCAGATTAGTCCTGCCCAGGTGCAGGGCTACTTCATGCTGTATAAAAATGACCCTACAGGGGCAATGCAAAATGTTGAGTCCCTGAGGTGACAACTGGGTTGTGCTCAGCTCCTCTCCTCTAGGGGATCAATAAATACCTGCCACACTACTCTGGTCTCTGATTTCCCTGTATTGGTACTTGAGTAAAAAGCAGGGGCTGCAATCACAGGAGCCATTAAGCATCTATCTATACAAGTGCTAGCAGCACAGCCTAGGACAGTGATGGCAAACCTATGACACGCGTGTCAGAGGTGACACGCGAACTCACTTTTTTGGTTGATTTTTGTTAAATGGCATTTAAATATATAAAATAAATATCAAAAATATAAATCTTTGTTTTACTATGGTTGCAAATATCAACAAATTTCTATATGTGACACGGCACCAGAGTTAAGTTAGGGTTTTTCAAAATGCTGACGCGCCGAGCTCAAAAGGTTCGCCATCACTGGCCTAGGACAAAGGGGGAAGACGACACTATAGTAAACAAAAAAGTACAGTCCTCCACCTAAAAGCATCTATATATGGTGTCCCCCAAAAATATATACACACACTTTGAAGACTATACTTAATAATTATAAAGGCACTGTTTATTAAAATACATTTCATTATCAAAATTGAGTTACCTGTTAAAGTGTGTATGTATTTTTTGAGGGACCCATACACATAAATAGTGGGTATACACACAGTGGGTTACAGGGCAGGGTGCTTCCGGCAGATTGCTTAAATGCTGGCATCCACTAGTTTTCCCTGAAACCCACTACACTAGCTGTGACGTCAGACCCCTTCTGACCTAGACCTGAATCTCATGGATAGCAGACCTCAGGGCAAAGCTGAGGCTACTCTGGCACACTCCAGCCTTGCTAGGAATTTAGGAAGACAGCCATACGTCACAGGCTTGGCGCTACTGAGCAAAGAAAGCCAAACAAGGCCAAATCTCTTTATTGCCCCCCTCCTACCCCCATTTCCCTGTGCCACCACAGTACTGCTAGGAACCATCCTCCGATTCCAGGCTCAAGGGCTCCCTTTGAGTGCCAGGTGGATAGGTTCCCCGACCCCGAGGCAGGCGGGGATAGGAAGAACCTGGTGTCCGACTCTTAGAACGCTCCCAGCGAGCATAGTCCCGAGTCCTGCGGGGCGGGGGACCCTGCCAGTTGCCAGGCCCATTCTCTTGGGAAGGACCTCCAACCCCTTGGTTATGGGGTTCTTCTGGCTTTACGTCCATGGACTCCTTGGGCCTCTCAGGAAGTGGCAGTTCCTGGGTGTCACTGGTACCTTTGTGGGCATTGTATTCCCCTCCCTTCAGGTGCCTCCGTTCAGGCTGTCTCCAGGGGCCTCGGTTGGCCCGGGGCGTATCCAGGATAGTTTTCTGCGTCTCGCTCAACCTTTGCTGATTTGGCCCAGTCCCTGGAATCTTCTCGCACATATACTGGGAAGCCACAGGCAGAGGAGCTGACTGGGTAGGTTGGGCAGTTGATGAAGGGGACAGTTCTGTGGCAAGAGCACTGAGTGGTTGGGATCCTCTGGAGGCATCTACAGCTGACTCAGGTTCCACATGGGCAGGTGGCTAGAAAAAAGTGAGCAGATGCAGAAAAGGAGATTCAGCTTCTCAAAGCAGGGAACGACAGGCCTCTCGCCCACTAAATGAATTGACCACCGTCAGCCCGTAACCACCCTGGGTAGAACAAAGCTCAGCATGGCAGAGGGGTGTTCATAGGAAACTTGGTGTCACTAGGGAAGGAGTGGGAAATTATTTCCTCACCTGCTGGAGGCTGATGAAGTACCGGTTACGTTCAGCCTCTAGGTCAATGATGCCCCCCCCTTTCCTGTTGCCTCTGGTAGAGCCGCCTGAGCTCTTCTTGTTGGCGCAAGCTTTCTGCATTGGGCTTGTACAGCTCCTGGTAGGAAGGGAGCAGATTGGCCGGGAGGGAAGAATAAACACAAGGTAGACCTGAGCCCCTGCTCTTCCAGGACTGCCTCAGGAAATCTGTGCAGTTATTGGTTTTTATCCCTCAGATTTGGGCTCCTGAATGAAGCCTTGGGCTCCAATGGGAGCTGTGGCTTTGTAGAGGTCTCAGATTGAGCCCAATTTCAGAGCCCATTCAAGGCAAACAAGATGCCGTTCCTCCCCCCTTGGAGAATGCCATTATTCCTGCCTCATTTAGGAAGGGGGTTCCTTACCATGGGCTGTTGGGGTTCAGGGGCTGCTTTTAGTGAGGCAAGATCATACACGAGGGGCTCTCTGCACACTGGACACTGCACACCAACAGCCTTCTAAAAAGAGAGGAGAAAACCACACCCCTGCTTCACGGCCCAGGATGATCACCAGCTGCCCAACCACTCAGCCAGCCTAATCTGCCGCGGGCTGGGACAGAAGGCACAGGCATGCCTGTTTCTAAACAGAAGTGAGTGTTCACTCATGACCATAAGAAGGTTAACAGCCCCTGGCCTGGACGGGGAGAAAAGTTTGTTAGTCATCGGTGTCAAATGTAAGCAGGGTCTGGCGGGCCGACCTGTTTGGTTGCGGCATGATGCCGTTCCTGTTCCTGCTCCTGTCCTTGAGCCTGCAGCTCACGCTCCATGTGCTGGATGTACCGAGCAAGGCAGTGGCAGTGGAAATAGTGGTAACAGGGTGTTTTTGTAAAGGCCTCGTTCTCCTGGAGGGAGTATGGATACAGGGCGCTGCATCAGAGCTCTCTCATGAGCCCTCCATTGCCTACCCAAGCAGACCCCAAGTCACAAGAGAGACCCACCTGGAAACCATAGAGGCAGATGACACACTGGCCATGTGGGATGTTGTTATCTGTGAGAATTTCCTTTCCTTTCTGAGAGGAGAGAAGACACTGTTCAAACAGGGAGGCAGCAGCAAGAACTGTGAGCAAAACCTGTCACTACTCCCAGGAGTAACTGGTCTCCCACCACACCGGTCTGTTACCTCGTGGGCACACATTTCTGTCTTGGTGATGCTCCCTCTGCTTGGAATCAATCCTGCTCTAAGTCCCTGACCCTCATCCAAACTGCCAGATTCAAAATCCAATTTGTTTTCCCACTCATTTAGTCACCTTTAATAGCTCGAGGATGAAAATAATGTATCTTAGAGAAAAAAAGTGTTCAGTGAAAACACATCTTCTAGGAGGCCTTTCTTGGTTAGCCCCCTTTGAAATCATTGACCCAGTGAGTTTGTTCTGGAATAGGCTTTCAGAAAGAAAATCAAGGAACAGAGAACTCAAAGGCATCAAGTTGAGCTATCAAATATGCATTTGCACTGTTATTTCAATAGTTAATACTTTGGAATTCCACAAAGTTCAACACTGCTTTGTGGAGGCCTGACTCAGGAGTGCTACAATGGCCTATGCACTCACTCTCTGACACCAGATCACCCAACTTTATTCTTTTCTGAACATTTCTCTAAAAAACTCAAAGTAGAGGAAAACGAGACTATACTTAATTGTGTGTTTTTTAACCTCAAACAGCAAAAGTGACCTTTGTATGTTAACTTGTAGTTCTAGGTGGTGCTTCCTGTGGGTTTCCTTCACTAGGAGAGAAACTCTGTACAGAACCATGACTCTGGAGTCAGCTCTAATGGCAGACTAGCCTTCAAATGTTCATTTGTGGCAGAGACCCTCCAGGTCTCTTGCTACTTTCAGTTGCCAGTGCCAAGAAAACAAGTTTAGCACTGAAACTAAAGCAAGACTAATGCAAGTTAAAGAAGAAATGCAATTTTCTATCAAGATGCTGGAATAGGCAACTTGAGAAAGCTATAGAACTGTCCTGTTGGGAGATTTTTTTGAAGCAGAAGAAAGTCTTGTCTTTCTGGATTTAGACCTTACCAAAACAAGGACTAAATGGATGAACACAAACATATTCATGATTCTAGGTCATGGCTTCCCTTAAAAGAAAGGACATCTCCCCAGGCTAGACCTCTTACCTCGATGAGCTCATAGAGCATGGCAGTGCCCAGCCCAGCCTTGGCTACATGGCCCAGTGCCTGTGAAATCCTGAAGGAAGAAGGCAAACCAAACATTAGGCCTGCTTCCTTCCCTCCCCAGACTGAGCTGTATTCTGAGTTTCCCCTGCTCTGACCAGCCTGCTTACTTGTGGATCTGTTCATCTGAGAGTCCTCGGGGGTTACGAATAGAGATCTGTGGCACCTCATTGGGATACTAGTAGGAGAAAACCAAAAATTACTGCTAAAGCACCCCACCCTAGACCTGCCCCCTTCCTCCCTTTGCTGCAATAAGGTAGGGACCTCACCTGTGCTGGGACCTGAAGCACCAGAGTGAAGCAGACATACTGTGAATCCTGGTCTTCTGCAGTGGCAGGGTGCAGGGTGATGTAGACCTCCCACGGCGAAGATCTGTAGGTGGATGAAGTGGAGACCTGGGATGTGACTGGGCAAGGGCTGGAGGGCTGGGGAGGTTGGGGGTGAGGTAGTAAAGCAGGCAGAGGAAGTAAGCAACAGGCTCCCTCTTTTTTTGGTGGTGGTGGTGGAATGAAAGGAATAGTCTTTACATGAGAGAAACATTTTTGGATCAGGGCTCACAGATTCTGCATGGAAACATCTCATTTCTAAGGGGACTCATGTCTACCTCTACTGGAATACGCACCTGCCATTTCCTTTAATCACTTGTAGTTCATCCAGATAGATAGATTCTAACACCTCGATTTCAGAGGGAAGGACCCTAGAGAGACAGAGTTTTAGAGATCATTTCTGCCAACAGACGAGGAAACAGGTTCTCAGGAAGGTGAAATTACTAGCCCAAATCTCAAGGCCTAACAGGCAGAACTCAGGTGAGAACCTGAGTGGTCAGGTGGTTTCCTGACTCCCTATTTAAGTTTTGTTGATTGTTCCTTAGTGGCCCTCTCTCTGACCCAGAAATATGATGTCCATTGATTAACATCAAGGTTACTAATACCACTCTTGGCTTTCTCTACACTACTGTTCATGGGAATCACAGTATTTACATATACTGCCAATATTAATTACCCTAAACCTTCTCAAAGGAGATACCATCTGAACAGACCAAGGTGATATAAAAGCTGTGTTGCTGTGTTGTAGTGGAAGAGCCATCAGCCTTAGAGTCAATAGGTACCAATCACATAGTACCCATGTGATCTGAGTAGTTACTTATCTCTGTAAGCCTGAGTTACCCTGTCTAATATATATAAATAATGCCACCTACTCTCTAGGGTTATTGTGAGGACGAAAGGGCTTTGTTTATGTAAGATATCTAGGGACATCTTGGCCATAGTACCTAGCCTATACTTGTATATAACCTTTTCCCTTAAAAGGGAAGAAGGATATAGTTAGTATTCAGTGTATTTATGACCTTGTTGTATCAACCTGTCCAGGTCTGGATCCAGTGGTCCTGATGTAAATCAGAGGACACACATTTTTAATCACAGAAACAGCAGTCATAATGACCCTGAAGGTGACACTGATACTACATTAAAAGATGCATAATTGGCTTGCTTTCTTACAGGTATATTGTTCCCTCTTCACCAAAAGCAACGCTGCTCTTAGCATGACTTTTTATTAGTGGTTCTCAAAACTTTTTTTTTAAAATCCACATTTCCATTACTTTTTCAGAGAGAGTGGAAGGGAGGGAGGAACATTGATGTGAAAGAGACACATCGATAGTTGCTTCCTGCAACTGGGGGTGGGAGCGAACCTGCAACCCAGGTTCATGCCCTTGACCAGGAATTGAACCCTAGACCCTTCCATGCAAGGCCCAATGCTCTAACCACTGAACATACCAGCCAAGGCTCAAAACTTTTTTTTTTGGTCTCACAGCATCACAGACTAGCTGTGCAATCACTGCTGCTCTCTCCATGCATCAAAGTGTCTCCTCAGAATCATAATGTTCCCCTGAACAGGCTGAAAACCATGGTCTAATGATTTCAATAAAGGCCAGCTGAATCAATGAAACACTGGGGTGTAGCCTCCATCAAGAGGCCCTTCAATATTTCACTCAATCTAGCTGGAACTTGAGCCTTGATGTGAAGTATGGAGTGGGATGGCGGTAAAGTTGTGACCAAAAAAAGGGGGAGGGGGCTGTAGAATATCCTAGTACTAAGGATACAGGATTTGGAATCAGGCAACCTGGATTCCTAGTCATAATTATGTACCTTTTGGCAAATCATTTACCTGTCAGGCTTCATGTAGTCTCCTCAGATGCCTACATCTCAGAGTTATTCATGAAAAGGAGGCCGATGTATGTTACAAACCCCTCATGATCCTCTCCACTATTCTATGAGGTAGATGCCACACCCACCTTTCCACAGCAGAGGACACTGACTCATAGAACATAGGAGGCCTGGTCGGCATCACACAGCTAATAAAATGTGGAGTGGACCCACTTTTATCCTCTTCCCAAATCCCAGAGTCCTTTCAGGTTCTGGTCTCTTTTAAGAATGCTTGAGAGAAGGACTAAGAGAGCTTTTTGTGAAGTGTAAGGCTTTATTCAGACAACAGTCCTCAGTACTGTCAGGGAGGGAGAAGGGAGAGGAAAGCCTCGGCAGAAATCGGCTCACCAAGCGGGGAGGGGGACGGGAGCCGGAGGACAGGTTTTGGGAGGTTAAAGAGACGTGGGGCCATATGATGAGCAGGCATCCCCCCGGACCCTGAGCAAATCCACTTCAAGAAGAGACAAGGGGATAGGATGAGGCCGGAGGAAAGAGGGTCGAACCAGATAAGGCGCGGCTCGCCCTGGCCTGGTCAGCGCAGATCCCGTCGTCTCTCGCTTAGATCAGCGCCCCTCCACCCACCCACTCCCAGTCCAGAAGCTCTCAGGGAAAGATGTCAGCGTCTCTGCCATCCCTCGCTCCGCCCCACATGCCCGCCATACGGACCGTCCACGGCGCCGCTAGTCCCCCGGACCGGATCCAGGCGGTCAGCCAAAGCCCATGCCCCAAAGTTACCAGTCCTCCTCCCCTGCAGCTGCCGACGAAGATGTCGCCATGTCTTCTCCGGCCCACAGCCGGAACCGGAAATACTCTCGGGTTACTCGGAGGCAGAAAGTTAAGGGAATGGCGGCTGCGTGGCTAAGCGGCGGTTGCTAAGCAACCGCAGACTCTGGGTCTTTAGTGGGTCCTGATAGCCAAGAGGCGGTTCGGAAGTGCCCTAAAAAGTGCCCAAGGACGGTCCACCGTCTTCCCCACACCTCTGAAGGCCTTTGTCCTCCGGACTCTGGCTGGTTGTAGCAAACACGGTTGGTAACAATAGGAATCTTCTAGAAGACGGGAAGCGGGGGTCGGGAAGAATTTTAAGTCAGGCAGAGTATGCAGGCAGCCTGAGGGGGCGGGGCTGAGGCCAGAGCCGGCGTCCCTCGGCCTGGGGAGCTGGAAGCTCCTGGGCTGGGGTGAAGCGG